GTTCGCGTATAATAATAGCTAACATGCAAGTATTGGAATGGCACCGTACGAGGCACTATATGGAAGGAGATGTCGATCACCTCTGTGTTGGAAGGAAGTCAGAGACGGAAAATTATTAGGCCCCGAGATCGTGCAAATAACAAGCGATAAAATCCAACTCATCCAGCAACGAATTCGCACTGCTCAGAGTCGCTAGAAAAAGCTATGCAGATACACGGAGACGAGACTTAGAATTTCAAGTGGGCGATCATGTGTTCCTAAAGATCTCACCAACGAGAGGAGTTATCCGATTTGGAAAGCGAGGAAAGTTAAACCCATGTTACATCGGCCCATTCGAGATACTTGAAAGGATTGGTCCTGTGGCATATCGCATTGCGCTTCCACCCAAACTGTCCAATGTGCATAATGTGTTTCACGTTTCGATGCTTCGTCGATATCTTCAAGGTCCAGAGCATGTTGTCGATCATGAGAACCTGGAAATTCAAGAAGACCTCTCCTATAAAGAGCAACCTGTACAGATTCTTGATCACCGTGAACAGGTCCTCCGAAATAAGACTATACCTCTCGTAAAAATCTTATGGTAAAAGTCTTATGGAGAAACCATCGTGTTGAAGAAGCAACTTGGGAAATTGAAAGCCAAATTTGGGCCAAATACCCACACCTCTTCGAAAACCAAGTTACGTCAAGTTTAGGGACAAACTTCTTTAAGGAGAGGAGAAATGTGACACCCAAATTTTTCTTTTAAAATTTTAATAAACAGAACTCAAAAATAAATAAATAAATCAATAATAATAATAATAAATAAATAAATAGGAAATTGGAAAGTTATCAATTAAATTATTTGCGAGACACCACACATTAAATATTTTAGTAAGTGATAAGTGATATTTTATAATTTGGTAGTGAGATTTTTAGACGTAAATCTAATTTATAATTATACGTAATTTTAGAAATTATGATTTTTAAAATTGAAATAACATAATAAATAAATATTAAAAAAAAAAGAGTAATTTCGGTGTAGGCCAAAGGGCTACTTGGCCCTTGCTGAATTCAGGGAGATGAAGCAAAGGGGCGAAACAGGTGTCAAGAAAGAGTTAAACTTGAGGAGTGAAGAACAGGTGGCAAAGAGAGGAATTCTCCACATGTGCGTTGGCTTTACTTGGGCCTTGGGCCTCACTTTAAGAGATGTATAAATGAGAAGTTGATGCTGTAGCAAGAATCAGAAGTGAAGTAGAATCAGGAGCAAAAGACGAAGTAAAGGAGTGTAAGGAGAGCGTAGCAGTGAGGCTTTGGAGCACGGAAAATAGGGATAAATTTATATTAAAAGTGAGTTTTATTATATGTTGAGTTAGTATAATATATTTTTTACACGTCTTATGTTATTATAATATGTTTTATGAATATTTTGAGTTATCATAATTTATTTGATATAAGTTATGTTTTATGGTTAGGATAATATTTCAATTACGTGGATTATTTTCTGAACTCTATTTGCTTAAATTAAAACTCATGGATATGTTTGTTTAAATTTTAGAGATTATTTGGCAATGATCTTGTAAACAATTATTTTCTGTAAGTACCACTACGAGAGTCCCATGTCTTGGGGACTTAAATAATCATTGGCCCCTGTTTGATCACTTTGTGGTCCCGTGTTTGTCATGGATCCATTGACCCCTATTCTGATTTGTGGTCCCGTGTTTGTCATGGATCCATTGACCCCTATTCTGATTGTCACTTTAATGATCACTGTTCTGTTCTGTACCGTGATTATAATTATTTATTTCAGTGTTTGCCACCTAATTAATTTGTGTATTCAACTCAAATTATGTTAATGTTTTAGCTTAAAAAACAACTCAAATTATGTTAATGTTTTAGCTTAAAAAACTATTTATGGCTATTTTGTGCCCCTACACTCACAGTATAATATGTCTCACTCTGCTATGTGCTTATAGTTGTTACCCCATTTAGGTGACGAGATTTAGCGGGATCAAGATGGAAAATGAATCGCTGTGTTGTTTTTTTTTAAATCTTTTTTTTATTTCTATTTGTTTTGTTTTGAACTCTTGTAATATAATAAAGTCCAAATGACTATGTTTTATTTCCTTTTAAATAAACATTTGGTACCCAATTATTTTATTTAATTTATCCGCTTGCGCTGCGACTATAAAATTTATTTGAATTATTTTATTTTTATCTTGTCACGACGCCGAACCTTTGGGTACTGGGTTTGGGTCGTGACAAACATAATTATATTGAATTATCTTTTAATAAAGTTAAATAAATTGAAACTAATGCAAATGAAGTAACGATGCGAAGATAAATAAAATAAAATATATATTTAAGTGTAAAAGAGATGGCAATATTATTTTTGTGTTTATATGACTAACAAAATTCTAATGAAAATGAAACTAACGGCTCGTTTGGGCATTTACTATTTTAGTTGATTTTTTGACATCTTACGAAAATGTGAAGAAAAGTAAACAGAGTAATATAACAATTTATAGTAATTTTTTGACTTTTTGACTATATTAGCCCCTTCCCAAACAAGGCCTAAGGATTGTATTGGAAATTGACTTTTTTTAATGACTTTTTGACTTTCAATAAAAAGATGTGTAAAAAAATAAAAGAAGAAGAGTTGACTTTTTTGTAATTTGTAATTATTTTTTAGCTAAAATTTGATGTTTCTAAAATAGGTGTAAGTATATGAATTAAAAGTTTTAAAAAATTAATATAATTATATTGAATTTATGAAATTTATTTGTATTTTCTAAACATTAAAAGTGATTAGTGTCATCTACTCTTAAAATTATTCACAATATACAATAATAAAATGAGGGACTTATGTATAGGTCCTAATAGATGGAGTTATTATCTAATAGGTCCTATGATAATTAATAATAATTTTTATCAAACACTATTAAAAAAAGTCAATAATTATAAATTTTCAGTGACAGTTTGAAAATTATCACAAAAAATGTCATTAATTATAAGTTTTGGCGTCAAGTTAAAAAAAAGTCACTAATTTTTAACTTTCAGCAACAATTTGTAATATTTTCACATAAAAATGTCACTAATTGTAAGTTTTATTGACAATTTATAAAAAATCGTGACAAAAAAAGTCACTAATTATTAATTTTTAATGATATGCAAAAAATTGACAAAAAAAATTATTTTTAGATATGATTTTATTATGACTTATTTTCAATAAGATTTGATGGAAATTAAATCAAACTATTAAAAACTATTGATAATTTAGTAATAAGCTTTTTAAGGTTATATCCATACAAGATATTCACCCTAATTTTAAATGAAATTCATGTAAGTAAACAGTGAGATTGATTTCTCAAAATTAATTAAAATACGCGAAAAGTACTTCAAACACATAATTGTAAAATAAAATAAGATAAGAAAAACAGTCCAGTAGCGTGGAAGCATAGTGATTATTACTATATTATAATTTAAATGTCATTGTCATGACTCACCATAATTTTTGTCGTAACTTAAAGGTTATCCATCATGACAATGCCAATTTCCACAACTTAGTATTAACAAACAAACAGGCAAACAACTTTTGACTTATTAAAATCAATTTGAATATTCTTCTATCGGTACTGATATTTATTATACTTTTATAAGTCCCTTCTATTAATAAATTTATGAACTATTTGTGCTTTCAATTAATTATCCAATGACATGTATGATTTAATCATAACCACATCCAACAAGAAGGTTAATGTCCAAAAGTTGGAAATTTCACATCAAGCATGTATTCAACCATGCAATACTGAATTATATAGAAAAATAAATTTATAAATCACAATCATGAATTTTAAATCTACACCGTTTATATCACTTTATAATTGTGTTCGGTTTATTGATTTGGGTAAAAATTTAAAAAAAGAAAAAAAATAGAGATAGATGAAATATGAATAAAATATAGTTACATTTTACTTTTTTTTTTTCAAATTTCTAACCAAATCAATAAACCAAACTCAGCGTTAAAGTAATTTTCAAGATAAAAATTCATAATAAATAGCATTTTTCCATGCATATTTATTACCTTTTTTTAACTTGACCTTATCACTCACCATTTTTTTTAATATAATTATTTTATAGTCTCAAAATATCATATATAATATTAATTATTTGACATGTATTAAGATCTTTTGGGAGTATTAAGGCCAAGTTTGGGAAGACTAAATAAGTGTACTTTTTGTCTTTTTAGACTAAAAAATTGAGGTTGAAAATATGAATGTTTGGGTTAATTTTTTGACTTTTTATTGAAAAATGTATAATAAAAAATTGTAAAAATTGATTTGTAGGAAAAAATTTGAATTGGTAGGGAAAAATTTGAATTGAGAGTTGTTAATTGTTGACTTTTGGTGAATAGTATTAACTTTTTAACTTTTTGAGTAACTTTTTGACTTTTTAACTTTTTTAAAACTACCCAAACTTGGCCTAAATAACTCACGGTGTATTTTGTAATTTTTTATCCGTTAGAAACATCAATTGATAAGGTCACATAACAACTACCTAATACATTTCTCTTTTGATAGGGCTTCTGGAGGCTCTACTTGGTTTGGTATTTAGAATCAATTTTCTAAAAAAATAAAAAAATTAATATAATATAAAAAATAAAAATAAATAAAAAATACACATCATTTTCACATAGCTTTATTATTTTTTTGACTAGTAGAAATAATTTTTAAAAATTTGGAGAATATCTTTTGATTATTTCGTTTCATCTAACTAATTTCTATTTTCCAAAAAAAAAAAAAAAATTTGAAAACAGATTTCAAAAATATGAAACCAAAAATAAATAAATTACTTCTGTATAAAATATATTATTTTATTGCTATTCATGGTACAATAGTGGGTCAATACCTAGCAGGCAACAAAGTCATCTTTCATGCTCTCTTTCTCATTTGATTCCCACCCCAACTTCCCACATGTAGATAATACATAAAATTTTCCCAGAAAAGAAATGAAAAGAAAATTACCTGGTAAGCATTAATAAGGCTGAGATCAATGATAGAAGGGTTGTTGGCTTGAAAACCAGCAATGGAATCAATCAATCCAAGGTTCATAAAAGAGTGTCTAACAGTTGTGCTAGCCAATGAATCATTGATTGCCAAGAAAAGAGGCCAAGTGAGCCTAACACAGTTGAATCCCATTGACACAATCTTCTTTGAGATTGAATCAATGGGTTGTTTGCTAAGTCCCTCTGCCACCACGGCCTCGAGATGCGAAGCCCAACTCACACATGAGAGCTTCACGCGCCGCCCTGTTTCATCGACGATCCACCGTGAATCAGTGGAGAGTGGAAACGCCGCCGCGGGGTTTGGTGGTGTTATGGTGGTGCTGAGGAAGATGACTGTAAGAGAGAGAAAGGGTAGGAGGGACAAGAAAAAAGGGAACCTTCCCATGTTGAGTACTTTGCATTGGATGTAATGTATTGCTTCTAAGTATTATATTAATATGAAGGGCTTGTTTGGTTGTTTCTTTTGTCTTTTTATTTAATTTGATTTTTTTTTTGTTTGCTTACTTTTGACACAAAGAAAATTGGCATACGTGAATTTGACATCTCTTAAAACACTTCAACCTGTATGCCAAATTTTACTACTCCTTCACTCCCAAAATAATGATTTCTTTTGGGAAATTTAACTTTTTTTTGATAGTATAATTATTGTATTTGAAAAAAAGTTGATTTTTTAAAATTATCCTTTTGGTAATGCATTTTTTGAGAATATCAATGTCATAATTGTACTTTTTATATTATTTATTAATTTAAAAGAAGGGCAAAATAGGAAATTTATACTATTTTTGTACTTGATTTTTGAAGAGGGACTAATATTTTTAGACAATAAAAAATGGAATAAGAGACTAATATTTTAAGACGGGGAGTATTTTATTATTAAAAGATAAAGGAAAATATTATTTTATTTATAAAAAAATACTATAATTAAAAATTTGACATGAGCTAAGGAGCATGTCATGTTGACATATGGATTGAGCGAAAATTTAAGGTCAAATTTGATTGTTGGTGTGCCACGTAGGATTTGGCATACAGGTTGAAGATGCTCTAAGGTTGTGTTTACATAGTCAAGTAGTGTAGTAAGTTTAACAGAAGGTAGTATGCATTTTAATTTACAAATCACATGTGAGCTATGTAATAATTTCTAAATGTTATGGGGTAAATCGCACATGGCCCAAATTACAAGGGAATAAAATGAAATTTGCTCTAAAATTTATTTAAGTTTGCTTTGTTTATCTTTTGAGGCAATCTCAAAGGAGTTTTAACGAGCCAAACTTTAGTAATTTGATTTTTTTATAGTGCATAAAAGTGAATTGAGCCAAATAAGACTAGTTCAAATTTAGTTTGAAAATTTAACAAATTTTAAAATAGGATAAATTATGTAAATGGTTCCTGTAGTTTACCCGGTTTTTTCACTTTGGTCCCCTTTGTTTCAATTTGATCAATTTTGTCCCTTAATTTTACAGATTGTGTCATATTAGTCCAATAAATAACGGCGGTTAAGTTTGATGGACGAAAAATCAAATGATGTTTCAATTTGGTTCCGGTAGTTTATAGGATGTGTCAATTTGATCCCTATAGTTTATATGAAAATCAAAACAACAGTGACTAAATTGACACATTACAGGGACCAAATTGAAACATCATTTGATTTCCCGTCCATCAAACTTAGCCGCCGTTATTTATTGGACTAATATGACACAATCCGTAAAATCAAGAAGGGGAAAGAGAAGGGGTAGAAGGAGAGGAGAGGAGGAGGTGGTTCCGGTAGTTTATAGGATGTGTCAATTTAATCCCTATAGTTTATATGAAAATCAAAACAACAGTGACCAAATTGACACATTACAGGGACCAAATTGAAACATCATTTGATTTCCCGTCCATCAAACTTAGCCGCCGTTATTTATTGGACTAATTGACACATTACAGGGACCAAATTGAAACATCATTTGATTTCCCGTCCATCAAACTTAGCCGCCGTTATTTATTGGACTAATATGACACAATTCATAAAATTAAGGAGTAAAATTGAGTAAATTAAAACAATAGAGACCAAAATAAAAAAATGCAAAGTATAGGGACTACCGCTGTAATTTACCCTTTAAAATATATAAAAGCTTGATTTGTTTCTTACATATACTTTTAACAAGCTAAAAATGCAGTCATATTTGAGTAACTTAATGAAAAGATTGTAACGCAAATATGAGAAGAGTTAAAAAATACTCCAATAAAATGATTTATGGGAAAATTACATCGATAGTCTCTATGTTTTGTCTCTTATGTCATTTTGATCTCTATATTTTTAATTGTTTTAATTTTGATCCTTAATTTCAGATTTCGTGTCAATTTGATCTAATTGATAAAATCATTAATTTTGCCAACTAAAAGTATGACACATGCTGCTCATTTTCGTATTTTCTATAAAAAAATGCAAACAATTGAAATCAATCAGACAAAATTGAGACAAATTTATAAATTTATGGTCAGAATCAAGCCAACTAGAATTATAGGGACTAAAATGACATAAGAACCAAAATATAAGGACTATGGATGTAATTTGCCCATGATTTATTGCTTCAACAATATGAAACTTGATTAAACTTCTTCAATAAATGATTTCTTGTACGTACTGTTCTTTTCACAAATTTCTTCAATGTCTAAATACATCACTATCTTCTCTTTCTCATGCTGAATCCACCAAACTCCCAAGCATGTTGTTTCTCAAGAAATTGAACACCGAGTTGAATCCAACGAAAGGTGTGGTCACACTCGAACTTCTAGTACTATTAACAATTTTGAACCACTGACTTCCCGGGTCGCACATATTATCCCTATTTAAGCATTTACAATTATTCGTGACGATAATATTGCTACTGGGGTCCACATCCAAGCAAACGGCGGCGCCATCGGTGGTGAGCTTGGACGAGAGGTGCATTTTAGAGTCTGAGATGGGCTCCCATTTTGAAGTTGAGTCACTGCAAATCACACCAAGTTTTGCTGGTTTGTTTAGCCCTCCTGCTTGTAAGCAAAAATAGGTTCCTTTTATGGTTAGTGTCTTTTGTTGTGTGTTGTAGGACCAAGCCTCAGAGTCTGTGCATGGACCTAGCTTCAGTGGCTCCAATAGTGATTTTCTGTGGATACACTGACCAGTTAGTGGGTGGAAGATTACTTTGTGTTGTTTGGCTCCTTGTTGGGCTGGCCCTGCATGCCAAACAAAGCATAAACAAAACCATTTATATATAGATGATTGTTAACGTGTGTTTTTAAGGCACACATCAAAACTTTATAGGCATACAAGTTAAGACTGAACTCTCAAACTAAAATTGGTATATGTTTAGACTGGATGCATAATTCCAACTTGGGGGAGAATATAGATGTGAAAACTAAAAATTCATCGGTACCACTAATATTCTAATATTTTCCAAATAAAATTGTAACCGTCAAGTTTTTTTTTTTTTAAAAAAAATATATATATATATATATATATACTCAGGGCCTAAATTATATAATTTGAAAATATTCTTAATTAATACTACTATAATATGGAGATTTTCAAAACTTTTTGGGAGGGGCATTATCTCCATTTATCCTTGTCCATTCCGATTATGTTTGTATTTTGTCTTTTCTTATATTTTGTCTTCCTAGTACAAAATTTATTGTCTTTTTTGAAGTACTTCAGAAATACCAACTCAATAGGTTAATATGACACTTTCAAATTAACAAGAGCACTAGTCATGAATGTAGGGGAAAGGGATTCTCTCCAACAATTTTTTTATTCAATCATTATTTAACAATTGATTCAAAGGTCAAGTCTAGTATAATGACTCGCTGTTATATTAAATTGTGATATTTGGATAAGCTATGGTAATAACTAGTTATAAAATTGAATTGTGACCTTTAGATCAATTGATGGATGATGATGGCTAGATGAAAAAAGTGCTGGAGGACCAACAAGATAACTGACAAATGAGAAGACCTTGTCTCCCATCCAACTGACAAAAGTGAATTAAGTTAGGTTGACGTATTGCGATGGCAAATATTGAATAATTTTCACACAAAAAAAGGCATAAAATTGAATTTTATGAATTCAATACCTTGAAAGGGTAATTGAATGGCAGAGATCCTTTCCAAGAAGCTTGAATTCCTAGCCTCACACCAATTCCAATTGAACACCCCATAAAACTCCTCTAACCCAATCACCCCTTCTCTCAAATAATAACTCCCAGCAAGTGTCCACAAGGCCCAATCCAAGTCAAGTTCAGCAGCCACACCCAGGAAACAATTTAGGTACCTATTGTCGTTGTCATTTGTACCCCTTAGGTCCACCCCAAATTCACTCATAAACAAGGGGTACCCTTGGTCCAACACAAACCCTGCCTTCCTCATCATTTGATCTACCACTTGCCCACAAACCTGGTTCGGGTTGCCCGTTTTCCATGCCGACCCATCAGAAAACCCATACCAATGCACCTCGAACACTAGCTTTCCGGTGAACGTTAGGTTCATTGGGCGGTTGAGGAGGAAGGATAAATCTTTGTCGAAACTCAATCCAGAAAGAATGATGAGAACATCAGGGTTTATTGCATGAACCACTTCCGCTCCTTTCTGCATGTACCTAAATTAAGCATCACATTCATTTGGCATAAAGTTATGGGACTAACATAGTTATAAAAAGACAAAATATGCTAAAAAGTCAATAAGACAAAATGTCACATCAAAACTATAGTCATTTCATTTTTTCTCTCACAAAAGTCAAAAAAACTAAAAAGTTCATCCTAAACAAGACTTTTTAGCCCCAGGCTAAAATAGTTGAAAAATCAAAAAACTAAAAAGTCAACCCACATTCCAAACGAACCCATTGTGTATAATCAAGATTATTTTTTATACTGCCATATTATTGTGATTGTTATAGTGAACAAAACTAACTTGTTGGACCAATTTCAACTTTAGGCCTAAGGCCACAACATCATTTGTGGTGCTAAGTCAAAGTCAGCCCAAGGTACATTCGGGGTTGTTTGGTATGTATTAGATTAGTATATTTTTTGATTTTTTATTTAAAAAAATAAAATATGAGATAGGTTTGAAATGATGTGGTAGAGAAGTAATATAACCCCAATAAGATGATTGTGACCCAAATATGATAATGTGCTAAAATAGCACTATTTTAGCCCATGCCAAACAAAACCTCAGTACAGTTTAGACCAACCCCATTGGTAATGAGTTTAAACAAAAGAATTAATTACATCCAAACTTCCTCAATTGTTAATCTTCTCATTTATAAATCTGTACATATTAGCCTCCTCAATTATGAAAATCGTACTAATACACCCCTTTTAAATATGGTCTGAAAAAGTGAAAGTAGTACAATTTTATAATTAAGAGAGTCAAAATGTACGGATTTATAATTGTGGGGCCAAAATGATATTAACAAATAGTTGAAGGGGCCTTGATGTAATTAAGCCTTGAACAAAATTCATGAACAGTTAAAGAAAAAAGACAAAAATAATAATGTAACCAATACTATGCATCACCAAATACATTTTACTATTTCTCACACAAAATTACTATATCCCAAAAATAACCGTAGGTTTTACATAAATACTCCTTTATTGTGTAGATCGAGAAGTGAAAATAATTTCAAAATTCAAAATATTCAAAAAATTATTTAAAATTTTAATTTATAATATAAATTTTAACTTTATTTAAACGTTGCACCTAGAATTAATATAATCAATCCATTTTAAATTCTCAACTATTTTTAGATATTTTTTGAGTACGCGGTGTTGATGATTCATTCGGTGACAAGTACTTTTTGGTTCAATTGATAGAGTTTTCAGGTATGGCATTGTCCACGTAGTGCTCTATGCCAATGACATAGGGAAAAATTCACAATATGATAATGTTGACTGTTAAGTAATTGAGAATCAAATGAGACTGACTTATTGTATTTCGTCATTCTTTATTTTCCTAGAACACCACAGAGATAATTGTCATATGATACTTGGAAATTAGTTAATAGTTTTTTGAATTTTTTTGAGAAATTACAAAAAAAAATAAAAAAATTAAGGATTGACCCTATAACAAAATAAACATTTATTTTTAAATTTTGTCAAATTAAACCCTAATTTTTTTATTTATTTTCAATCTAAATTAGTTGTCTATTTTCATTAAATAAAATCCATAAAAATAATAATAATTTAGTCATTAAGCTCAAAAAAAAATGATATTTTAAATAATTTATATATACCTACATTAAGTTTATGAGTAAAATATTTTTTTTCATCGATTCTACTTGACGAAAATAGTTAGATTGAAAATAAATTAAAAGATTAAGATTTAAATTGACAAAATTAAAAATTAAAAATTAATTTATTATAAGGTTCAAACCCTAATTTTTTTTCTTTTTTTTTTTAATGTAATTTTTCCTTTTTTTGGAGTAATAGAATATTCTTATTTAGGATAAATTACAAATACACCCTCTGAAATTTGTTTAAAATACAAATTGTTTCCTGTAATTTTAAAAATTATAAATATTTTTTTATTAAAAATTTTTATTTAACAGAATTAATAAAAAAGATAAAATTCATAACTACTCTTCTATAATACAATAAAATTATATTAATTATTAATTAAAATATATTCATGATAAAATTTAAAATTATTAATAAATTTTATGATTTATTAATAAAAAAGACAATTTCTCATATGTGATTAGAAATTTAAAAAAATGACGAATAACACTAACTGTCCCTATAGTTTGAACTCATGTCACTTTAGTCCATGACTTTTCAATTGTGACACATTTGACCATGAATTTTGAATCTTATTCCAAATCAGGACAATTGAAGATACCATTACTTCAATTTGATAAAATATAAACTAATTTGACAAAAATAAATGTCAAAAAAAACATTTTTGATTTTTTAACAATTATTTCTACCCACTAATTTACTACATTATGAAGCTCAAATCTTATGAATCAATCACATGCAAACCCAAATTATACCAAACTTACTTCCAATACATTAAATTCATGCATTCAAATTTCATATCTTCATCAATCATGCATGCATGTCAATTCTTGACCCCATTCCTATTTCAAATGGTACAAATGGTGCTCATAACTATGAAACTCAACAAAACTATGCTTGCATGTATGATTCAACACTCAATTTCTCATATTCAACTTCTTACATGCTTGATTATGCAATTTCATGGCAATTCTATGCATGCATGTACATATAAACTTCAATTTCATCATAATTAACTCAATTCAAGTTCTTAATCATCATCTAACATGAATTCACAAAATCACAACTTAAACTCATGAATTTACTCACCTAGGAGCTTCAATCTTCACAAATTTTTGTTAATCTATATTTTAAACCACCGAGTGTATTTATTACCTGTACCAATCATTGACATTTTCTTTGGCGCCACGAAGTTCATTCCTCAAGCTCATCCCAACAACATTGGAGGTGCCCGTAAACAAAGAGGCCATCATGCTTAGGCCTTTAATCCAAAGGTCAGGATTGAAGTACTGGTCTCCAAAGAATCCACTGCCGTCGAATTTACTACAACACCAACCAGGCTTGCTGATGTGATTGTCCAATATGACCATTACATTGTTATCCCCAAGGCTTGATACTACTGCCTGAGAAATTCAACAATCCAAACACTCCTCAATCAAATACATTGCACAAAGTTATAGAGTTAATTATAATTACACTTTCTCAAATTTGCCTAAAAAATATTGATCGTCTCTTCGTAGTTTTGAAAGGTACATAATGTCTCTTAAAATTTTTAATTATTTTTTATTATGATGTCAATGATATATTTTAATTAACAGTTTTAATAATTTTATTATTATATAAGAGAATAGTTATAAATTTTATTTTTTGTTAAATGACAAATTCTCAAAATAGAATATTTATAATTTTCAAAATCAAATTAGATAATTTATATTTTAAATAAATCTAAAAAAGTATATTTATAATTTATCCAAAATTATAAGATGGTTGTTTGTTTGGTCTCCTTCTTTTCACATGTACAGCAATGTTAACGATTTAGAAAATTTATTCAAAAACATATCTTGAAAAGAAAATATTATACATTTGAAATTCATTTTATGTATGGATCTTGCTGTATAATCATTTTTTGCGATAAATTTCTTTACCATTTTTCTAGATTTTTATAGTTGGTTTAGTCCACTTCTTTTCACTAAAAAATATTATGCACTTGAGATTTATTTTAAGTATGCATCCTTATTGTACAAACTCTAAATTCGGGCCACGTCATTTTTTGCAATAAATTTCTTAACTGTTTTATATTTTAATTAACATATTAATTTAATTTTTATTATATTAATTTTACTTTATTTTTTCAAAAAATTAAATTCATCCTAAAAAATAGTGTGGGATATATATTTCATTAGTTTGGATTAAAAGACCTAACGGTAACATTTTAATTTAAAATTACATAGGAAACTTTCTAATTATATTCAAACTATAAAAACAAGATACTCGATCTCAAACAACAAAAGAATAAAATAAAATTTTACATTTAAATTATTCATAATATATTATACAAGGAAATTTTTTCGGTATGCAATGCATATTTATGTATAAAATAAAATTTTACCTTTAAATTATTCATAATATATTATACAAGGAAATTTTTTCGGTATGCAATGCATATTTATGTAAATTAAATACAAATTATTATAAATTTATAAAAATTTATATGATTATGTGAATTTATATTTAATTTACATATTTTTATAATATTATTTATGTAAAGTAATAAAAATTCATATTATTTTATATAGAATTATATACGGTGCATATGAGAACATTTAACATTATAATTTCAGGTAGCGTGGAAAAATATTTTCTATAAGGTCGTTGTATGTCATTGTCTATCATCCATCACCATTATTATTAAATATAAATTATTATGAATTTATAAAAATTTATGTGTTTGTGTGAATTTATATTTAATTTATATATTTTTATAATATTATTTATGTAAAGTAATAAAAATTCATATTATTTTATACAAGAATTATATAAAGTGCATATGAGAACATTTAATATTATAACTTCAGGTAACGTGGAAAAATATTTTCTATAAGGTCGTTGTATGTCATTGTCTATCACCCATCATCATTATTGCCAAGGTTGAAGGTTTTTTTTGTTTTTGTTTTTGTTTTTATTTTTTATTTTTTTTGAGAGGGTTTCAAACGTCAAACCAAGGTCATCCATATTAAAATTTTGAAAAAAAAAAAATTAAAAACTTTTGCTCCTTTCAAATAATTGTCCAATCAATTACATCATTTATCCACATCCAAGATCCAGCAAGAAGGTTAATGTCCAAAAGTCTCAGCAAAGCTGGACTTTTAAGACAGTGTTTGGTGAGAAAATTTAAAAAGAAATTTTTTTTTTTAAAAAAAGAAAAAAGTAATTAAAATTTAAATAAAATATATTTATACTGTATTTAATTTTATACATTTTTTTCTCTTTTCAAATCTGTTCATAAATTTTTTAACCAAACACAACCTAACATTCAGAATAATAAAGAGTCAGAATATTTTATAGTGTTGCTATATATTACTCATAATAAGCAGTAAAATAGTGAAATCTTTACAATGGGCGCTAATATTGAGTCACTGTACTAGGTAGCTCACATACATAAATAACCAAAGTTTATTTTGTAATTTCTTATTTATTACCAAAATACAACAAGTACTTCAATTTTTTTCTCTCCCTGGCAATATGAGCGGATTGAAAAAATTAATTCGCATTCGTTTGCTTACTTAACAGAAGTAAATTGAGTGTGCCTTGTGAAATGCAGATCGGTTTACCAGTTTGAGCTTTATTGTTTAAGGTTTGTTTTCAAACTATTTTCAATATAATTCTTACTATTTTGAGTTCAAAAATTTTTTTTCTTCATTTTTTATAACAAAAATAAAGGTACAACTTTTATATTTCATAAATAACAAATATAATTACTAAATAAAATATCTTATTTTTAATGCACAAATTGTAAAAGTATAACATCATTTTCTTGGCGGTTTGACGGTTTATTGTTTAAAGATTTTTTTTTGAACTATTTTTTAATAATTCTTTATTATTTTGAGCCCAAAATTTTTTATTCTCCATTTATAATAACAAAAATAAAGGTACAACTTTATATCTCATAAATAATAAATATAATTACTAAATAAAATGCCTTATTTTTAATGCATAAATTATAAAAGTATAATATCATTTTCTCAAGATGATTGATCGATCAAGTGATCTCTCATCTGTTATCCGTTTAAATTTAAACATATTGAGAAAAATCTATACACATCCACCTGTTCAGACAATTAAAATTATCCATTTTGTATGACAGATTGATTCAAGCGATTTAGTTTTTACAAATCATATAAATATTTGCCCAACCCTAAATTCTATATTTATCGTGGTGGGACCGGCATATAGCTTTTCAATTTGATATTTTATATTAAAAAAGAAAAATAATCAAGACCTCCTTTCCCCCAACTTCCTTTCACCCCTCTCATTCTGATTGGCCAAATTTTTTTTTTCCTTCTTCTCCAATCACCACCTGTCACGTGTGTGTGGGGGGTGGTGGGGGTTGCTGATTGAGGGAGTCTCAATCACAGTCCATTAAAAAAATGAAGAAATAATATATTACCAAAATATGACACTTAGTTTTCGTTTGGAAAGAGCTAAAATAGTTAGATTTTTTGATTTTTTAAATTATTTTAGCCTGACTTTTTTAGTCTCGCTTAGTTTTTGTTTTTGGCTTTTTTTATTTTTGTGAGAAAATAAAGTATAAAGATTATGATAGATGTGACATTTTGTCTTATTGACTTATGTAGTCCATTTTATATTTTATGCTTTTTTAACTAGAAAACCAAAACCAAACATAGCTTTAAATCATTATCTATTGTTAAAAACTTAAAATCTAGCAATAACTACTTACCTGTTTGGTTTTCGTTTTCAGTTTATATTTATAAAATTTTAAAAATTGTCATAAAAATTTGTTTGATAATTTTTTTATTTATAAATGGTTGTCTCAGTTTGTAAATTTCAAGAAAAAACGTAAAATCAAAAAATGAGTTTACGTTGCTTTTTAAACAGGAAAATTTGACTAATAAAATTTTGGGCAAATTACACTAATAGTCCCTATAGTTTAGGCCTTGTGTCGATTTAGTCCCTGATTTTTCAATTGTGACAAATTTGACCCTGAATTTTGAATCTTGTTCCAAATAAAGACAATTAACATACCATTGCTTAATTTCAATGGCAAAATCGTCAATTTGATAAAATATAAACTAATTTGACAAAAATAAATGTCAAAAAAATATTTTAAAATTTTTAAAAATTATTTCTACCAACCAAAAATAAAATTATGTAAAATTGATAAAAATAAATAAAAATTACATGATTAATTTTTAAAAATTAATTTTACATGATCATCATCCAAATACATAATAAAAATTAATTTGGTAAAAAAAATATAAATGTCTAAAGATTTATCAATTTTATATAATTTTATCTTTAGTAGGCAGAAATAATTTTTAAAAATTCAAAAATAATTTTTTAACATTTATTTTTGTCAAATTAATTTATATTTTATCAAATTGACAATTTTGTTCTTGAAAAATCTAATAATATATTCAATTGTTCTTATTTGGAACAAGATTCAAATTCAAGGTTAAATGTGTCACAATTGAAAAGTCAGGGATCAAAATGACACAAGTCCCAAATTATAGAGACCGTTGGTGTAATTCACCCTAAAAAAAATTTTCAATCAATTTTTTTTTTCAATTAATTTTTTTTAAATAATTGTTTTTTCAATTAATTTTTTTTTTCCAATTATAATAATGTGTATGATCCCATTGTCATAAATAATAAGAAATAAATATAAATATTTGAGGCCTGAACAAATATATTTTTTAATTTATATTTTTAATTTTTTTCACATATTTTATTCAAATCAAACACATTTATAATTTATGTTTTTCAAAAAAATAAACAAAAAATCAATTTATAAAATTTTTATAAATATAAACCTAGTGATTCAACCGTGGGAGATGGCTTTTATGATCACTCTCTCTCAGCCATAAATAGTGGGTGTCAATGTCTTGATCAAACGAGCAATAACCCAATCAAAACAAAAAATCTTCTTTCATGCTCTCTTTCTCTTTTGATGCCCTTTCCAAGTATACCACCATGTGAATATATACAATTTTCCCAGAAAAGAAAAGAAAATTACCTGGAAAGCACTGATAAGGCTGTGATCAATGATAGAAGGGTTGTTGACTTGAAAACCAGCAATCGATTCAATCAAACCAAGGTTCCTAAAAGACTGTCTAACAGTTGTGTTAGCCAATGAATCGTTCGTTGCCAAGAAAAGAGGCCAAGTGAGCCTAACACAGTTGAATCCCATTGACACAATCTTCTTTGAGATTGAATCAATCGGTTGTTTGCTAAGTCCCTCTGCCACCACAGCATCGAGATGAGAAGCCCAATTCACACATGAGAGTTTCACGCGCCGCCCTGTTTCGTCCACGATCCACCGCGAATCGGTGGAGAGTGGAAGCGAAGCCGCGGGCTGTGGTGGTGCTATGGTGGTGCTGAGGAAGATGACTGTAAGAGAGAAAATGGGTAGGAGAGAGAAGAAATGTGGGAACCTACCCATGTTGAGTTCTTTTGATTTGGATATATTGCTCTGTTTTAAGTCTTATTTATATTAAGGGCTTGTTTGGTTCTTTCTTTTATCTTTTTATTTGATTTTATTTTTTTATTGTTTGTTTACTTTTGATATAAACAAAGTTAGATGATTGATTCCTGGCTCAGCTAACCACATTTGGAGACGTCGACGTCATGATGAATTAATGTAATAATTATAAATAGTTAATTTTAAATTATAATGATTATTGTGACCTTGTTTATGTTTTGAAATGGAGATAATTTTTTATAAGAAAACACCATTATTAATATAGTGTACACTCGGTAATAAATCATTTAATAAAATAAATTAAAATATAAAATAGATTTTAAAAAAGTTAAAAAGAACATCCATACAAGAAGGATTCTAGTTTTCACATAAGGAAAAAAATAAATATCTACACCTTGAAAAGAAAATCTCGATAAAATGAGGAAATTTCTACACAGTGACATATTATTGCAACACAAAAAATAAATTAAAAAGTAAAGCAACCACCACTAAACAAATATTACCAAACTATCTTCATAATCCATTTATCATCACAACCAATAACTGTGATACTTTAATCGTCACATTTTCATTTCAAAATAAAACATTCTAGATTTGAGATAGCCTCCTATAATATAAGAATACGTTTAGCGGCATCGGATCTCGATGGCAAGACGATGATGCAGACGAAAGGAACGATATCATGGTGATGAAAAAAAAAAAAAAAAAAAGAGCAAAAGAAGAAACGAAAAAAAAAGTTAGAAGCACCACCACTACCCCTAAAATGTAGAAAAAGAGTGAGGATGGCTAGGATTGGATTTTTTAAAATGGAGATGTTAATGTATTAGAATGGTGTCTTTATTATGTAATAGAAAATAATTAAACTTCTAAAATAAATTATGGCATAATTTAAACGATTTGATGCTATTCACTTTTTGAGTTGGGATTTGTCATTAGTGTGTCGATTTTTAAGAGTTTGCCTTGTCACCAAATAGAGATACGGATTGATGGACACGTTGAACAAAAAGAATTATCAAAATGGCACAAATAGTGGGCCACAGGCCCAGGGTAGATGGTTTAGGTTTAGTTTAATTAGAATCTCTAATTGTATTGATTTCAGAACACCATTTGAGCCTGAGGTTGTCATAAGACTGTTCTGTAGAAAGTTCAATTTTTCCACACCCAAATAAAATATGATAAATAACATTATTGCTAAAACCATACGACAAATCTAAAAAAAAAAAAAAATCTCAAATTAAATAAAAGCGATAAAAATTACACAAAGATGGATGTCAAGAATCAAATGTATGAAATATAAATCACACTATTAGGAATCACATTGCTAGATATAGGATTTCAGTAAAAATTTAAAAATTTTGGACATAATTAACCTTTTTTTTTTTTTAACACTCTTAAATAGTCCATATTTTTTTTAAGAATGTGAAATTACCGTAAGAGAGGGTGGGAGTCAAATTCCTACTCAGTTTGAGATTGTAATTATTGATGAAATTCTATTCTATCTCATTTCAAATATTAGAATCATGAAAATTTAAATTACATTTTCATTTTTTCTTCAAGATTATTGTTATTCTCCAACCCACTTAAAAGTGCAAAAACTCATAAATAACAAGCTAGCGTGTGTTGATTAAGGATCTGGATTCTCTCCAATACTTTTTTCATAAAATCATCATCTAATAATTAATTAAAAAATTACAATTCAACTATTAATCATTATCACTAATTATGATTTGTAGATAAACTGTTAAATAAAGAAAGTACTGAGAAGAATTCTCTCCCATTAATTAGGGTTTATATTCATTGAAGTTGGAAACACGTCAAGTAAAAGACAGAGGCTATAACTCTCGTTGCTTTTGGGATAAGTTCGATATAATGTGGTATGGATTTTTAAGATTTTGCAAGACTTGCAAGGCAATGCATATATGTAATTTATTGCTTTTGTTATTGGTTATGTTTTTGTCATTTTTTTTTGTCTACTTTGCTTTCTCTTCCCTCTTTCTTCTATGCACAACTCAAATTTTAACTTTGTAAATAAATTTGATTTTTTTTTATTTTTATTTTTAAATTTTTATAAATTGATGTGGCCTACAATAGTAAAATCTTGGTATTTTTTTGTTTTCTAATCAAATTTGGTTTTTTTTTTTCCCTCTTCATGATGTATTTGCTCTCTGTTATGACTCAAATTGATAGAAATAACAAACAATTGTGACTCAAAATTTAAATACATATCATTTACGCTTTTTGAGGGTATACTCCACTTCTAGATGAAAACATAATTAATAAGTTCAACAAATAAGAAATGTGATATATTATTCCAATAGATTCACACTTAAAATAACTTAAATGACACATAATTTTTTTATAAAACATTTTTGAATTCTTAAATTTACTGATTTCCTTTAGGACAAACACCTCCTCCAAAAATCCCTCTATTCAATTTTGACTTTTAAAATACAGTTTTTGAGCTCGTCGTGTTTTTGTGTCTGTAGTGATTTTTTTAATATTTTAATCAAAAAAATTTACTTACATAGCCTAGATATACTTAAAAAATAAAATATTTGAATATAAAAAATATAAAAATTCAATATATATATTTTTTATTGTGTGTATTGATTTTTTTTGGATTTCTCCAAAAATAATTTTTTTTAGATGCATCTAGGTTAAGTGCTTTTAAAAAATAATAAATAAATAAAATTTGATTAAAATATAAAATAAAAAAAAAAAACCACCAAAGACAACAGAATATGAAAAATAAAAAACTCAAATATTGTACTTGGTTGCTCAACTAAGTGAAAGACAAGATTAGATCCATTATGCTCTTTCAGTGCACCATCATTTGATAGAAGCACCACATGTGCACGCTACGGTAATCTTGATGAAGAAAAATGACTCAGACCTCCTTCGCGAAGGACCCCCACAACTTTCTTATTGATCTATACTATTCATGATGTGTGGAGCCTATTTATGTATGTGTGGGGTCCACATCATGAATGGTGTGGATCACAAAGGGAGTTGTGGGGATCCTCCACAAAGGGAGTCCCAAGCATTATTCTTAATGAAATACTAACGCTTTGGCAATGTTTTTTTTAGTTAGTTTTTAAAATTTTTTTAACTTGTGACTTTTTTGTTCGTTTGGTATTTTTTCTTAATTGAATTTTTTGACTTTTTAGCTTTGGAATAGTAGTTTTTTTTTTGTCTTTTTGTGATTTTTTCACTTTTTTTTTGTCATTTTGTGATTTTTTAGCCCAACATGTTTACCAAACAACCCTTAATAATTTTTACCAATATGGTAGTGACACTACAACAAAAAGCAGATTTCGTGACTAAAACTGCATTTTTCGTCGCTGAAAGTAGTAGAATTGACGACTAAAATAGAATTAGTCGCCAAAATTGATCACTTTTGCCGACTACAAGAGTTTAGTCGCCAAATATAAGGGTTTTAAGCGACTAAAGGTTGTTTAGTAGCCAAAAGTCACTGTTTTTGGCGACTAAAATAATTTAGTAGCCAAAAGTGATGGTTTTGGCGACTAAAAAACAGTTTGGTCGCCGATTATAGGTGTTTTGCTGACTAAAAACAATTTGGTTGCTGAAAGTGAAGCTTTTTGGCTACAAAAAAAAAATTAGTAGCTAAAAACAGTCAATTGCCGACTAAAACTCAGTTTAGTAGCCAAAAGGGGACGTTTTTGGCGACTAAAAACAGGTTTAGTCGCCAAAACTGCTTTATTTTTAGGCGGAACTTAATTTTTTAGCGGCTAAAAAATAATTAGTAGCCGAAAATTATAGAATTGGCGACTAAAAATTTAATTGAGTAGCCAAAAGTGGCCGAAATTTTTTTTTAGTAAATAATTTATTTTTTACATAAATTATATTGAATAAAAATAATTATATTTATATATATTGTTTTGTATTAATACCGGTCAATATACTATATAAATAATATATATTGCATATATATTCATGTGATGTTGTAGTAGCATAGTGAAGGGAGTGTGTTGCTAAAGGTTTGGAATGTGGGACGATTGGCAGTTTGAAACTCAGAAAAAGCAAAAAAGTGGGTTTTTTATTTTTTTTCGATGGAAACACCTTTGGCGACTAAACGGTTTAGTCGGCGATTCAGTGAGTTTTGGCGACTAAATTATTAGTCGGTAAATGTATAATTTTCAAAAGTGTAAAACACTATTGGCGACTAAAACTTTGGTCGCTACAGACCTGTATTTTGGCGACTAAAAAAGTTTTAGTCGCCAATACCTCTGCCGACCACGTATACGCGACAAATGTGGCGACTAAAAAATTTTGTCGGGGAAAGTAAAATTTCGAGTTTCAGCGACTAAAAACGGACTTTTGGCGACTAAAAATTTAGTCGCCAAAAGTATTTTTTTTTAATGTGATCTGTGAAGTAATAAACAAAATATAATAAATAAATAGATTGATTATAATATTATTGGTGTAAATATTCATATTCTTATTAACAAATATTTGCAAAGAAAGTTGGAAAACACATGCATGAAAATCTACAACATAAACACATTAATTATCTGCAAATGCATACATAAATACATATAAATAATCATAAACAAAAAAGTGTAAAAAGTGGCATTATATATATTATTGTATAAAGCTGATACGTTAGTATGCTTGTTACCTTCTTCTTTTTTCATCTAAAAATTACTATTAATAGCAATTTATATGGACCGTTATGTCCTAAATTGAAGGTAGTGTTTGGTTTAATTTTTAAATTAATATTTGGATAAAAAATAATAAAAAAAAAACATGTTTGGTTAACAAATTATTTTTTCTCTCTTCTCTCTCCTGTTTTTTAATTAATAAATCAATCAACATTTTTTCTCTCCTCTATCTCCTCTCTCATTCTTTCACATTGTACACATCAATTAATCAAATTTTCTTTCACACCCATCTATTCAACTCTAAAAATAAAAAAATAAACTACAAATCATTCCAAAATTATTTTCAAAACTCATAACTAAATAAATTTTCAATTTTCAAAACTCTTTTCAATTTTAAAATACAACTCAAAACTCAAAACTCTTTTCAAAAACTAAACCAAATA